TGCATTGCAGCCCCAGGTCCCTTTCCTCCTCCCCAGCAGCACCACTGTGGAGGAAGGTAGTTAGCTTTTGATGAACTCTAAATTTCCACCCATGGGGCTCCCCCTCTTGCAAAGTCAGTTACACCTTTTTTGAAACTTACACTGCTACTTAGCACAGTGCCTGAACACAGTGAACACCCTGTCATTTTGAAGGAGAGATGAGTTATGCAACCTGGAAGACAGTTTGCAGCTGGGAGTCAACAAACCAGTGGGCTGATCCAGTCATCAGACAAGATTAAGAAAAGCACAATTTATGCAAGCAATTTCATTTATACAGCTCTGATCACCATAGCAAGGTTCACATCTTCAAATAAATACAGGAGGCAGCCCTGGACTTGTAATCACAATGAAATAAAGCAAAAAGTTCTAATTGTCTTACAAAACATGGCAAGGCTACAGGAGAGCAGCCCCATGCTGTGTCAGGTGTCTGTCCTGTTCACAGGCAGCACGTGCTTTCTGGCCATCCCACACAGCAAAGGGCAGCAGGCCTGTGGTTCCCCTGAAAACCAGCACAGGTGACCCAACTGAGTGTCAAGGTGCTAGAACAAAGCACCACCAAGTGGATGGCTTAAACAATCACTTATTCCCAAATCCAAAATCAAGGTGTTGGCAGGTTTGGTTCCTTCTGGAAGCCTAGGGAGCCCTGAGCATTGGCGGTTTTGGTAACCTTGGCTTTCCTAAGCTTGTGGATGACTCACCCAAGCTCCACCTCTGTATGGTGGCCATCTCATGTGCACACCTGTGCACCGCCCTGCCCTTTTATAAGGCCACCATCGCCCTGGGTAGGAGGGAAGGGCCTAACTACAAGCTGGCCTGCACGTCCCACTACAGCTCAGCTGCAGGGTCAGGGCACAGACATCCACAAGGGCAAGATGCCATCCCCCAGCTTCACAAAACAAGCTGTGTTGTTTTCGGCAGTGTGACCAAACAAAAACAAAAACAAAAACCACTTACCTACCTAAGCAAAAAGGGATAAAACACTTACTTTTCCTAAGGACACGACATAAACCCTAAACCTCCAGTGTTTCCTACGTGTGTATGTAGTTGCTACCTCCCTGAAGTTTTGACACAGTCCAAGTCGTGAGCTGCAGTTCTACATAGTGCACACTAGAGGGCAGGCCACTAAAATGTTCCTGTTGGAAGGAGTTGCTGGGCAAAAAGACAAACACTATATTTAAAAGGTTTCTCCCAAGTATAATGTGAGCGCGCCTTGGGCAAAGGGCACCTGCTGGAAACACCATGTTGTTTGCAGCTGCTGTTCCCTTCAGGGTTAATTTACACAAGCTCGTCCTCCGCGTGTGTTCCCAGGAAAGGAATGTACTGGCCCTGGTTGGCTGTGAGGGGCTTAACGTGAGCTCCTGGATGTGGGAGTGGACTGACCACGCTTCCTCTCACTGATGGCAACTTCATAAGTGGTCCACTCAACAGAAACACCCCAGAGGAAGCTGTAATTAATTCCTTAAATTAAAATGTCCTGAAAACTAGTTTGATAAGTTCTACCTCTGTAGCAAAAAAAAGGAAAGCGAGGCGAGTGTAAAACAGCTTCCGCCCGTGCTGAGCAAGGTTCTCTTCCCTGTTCCCTGCTCCTCCGCTCACAACATTTGACCCCGTCTGTGGCCATGCATACATTTTCCACAGTTTATGTCATGAGAAAACCAACTCGCTGTTTCCAGGCCAACACTGTCTTCTTTCTCAAACCCCAGGTCCCCCTGTGCTGAGGACAACACCTAGAAACAGCCCTCCAGCCTGCTCCAGGCTGCTGGCCAGTGCTGTGGACAGGTTCCCAGTTCTTCCTCGGTGGTCTGGACAGGATCTCCCTGGAGAAGGAGCGCTTCATGGAGTAAATGACAAAGGTCACCGGGGAGGGCTCCTCACTGTTCAGCCCGACTTCCCAGGGCTCTCGTCCAAGTGAGCCGGAAACAGTTGCTGAGAGAAGCTCCACAAAACTTCAGAATTGTCCCATTTCTGCTCATAGGAATACAGAGCATGAATGATCAAACATTCTGCATAATAAGAAGACAAGAGATGCTTTTAAGAATCCCCTTCAGGGAAGAAGGCCTAGGACCATGAGCAGGAAGCATGTGGAGGGAAAAATCTAAGCCATTCGCTGGGAGAATGATGAGAACTTCCAAGTACTCTGCAATGAAAAGTTCTACTTTTAAATCCTATTCTTTAGAAATAATTTATCATTTTTATATTATGGAAGCAATAATGTTTGTGGTAACCAAACAATAGAAATAAAGGGAAATCGAATAATCGTCCTCCAAAGTCTACCATCATCTACACCTCGAAAAAATTTCCTGCACACTTTGATTTTTGTAGACTGAGCAGTAATCTTTCTCCTTTTTAGGGCAGAATTTGTAAGAGAATCAAGGAGGGTCATCTCATGTAGATGATTTAAAACTTCAAGGAAGGAGGAGTATTTAACTCCAACCACCTGACTATTTTCCTTAAAATCAAAGTAACACTTTTGCCTTAAATACTCAAAGAAAGTTCTCAGGGTACCACTGCAAGCAACTACTTCTTTCTTATGAATGATTTGTCTCCACCTAGGTTCCTAACTCCTAAGTCCCACTGAGCATTAAATGTTCAAGGGAGCTTTAGAAAAACCCCACAGCTCCCCACCCATGCTGAGGGCAGGGCCTACGGGTCAGTTTTATGTGGTTCTCGGTGACTGTACTAAGCACATGACAGAGATCTATTTAAATGGTGATGCATCTGTCACTCAGCAGCCTGGATTTGGTAGCACAAAGGGATGTTTCCCTCCAAAGCCACAAAATTTTACCTCTCCCCTTCCTGTCCCAGAAAACTGGGTCCAAATCAAAGTGTGGTTCCCAGACAACAGCATCACACAGGAACTTTCAGAAATGCAAATGCTCAAGACCTATTCTGGACCTACTCTATTAGACATCCTGGGAATGGGGCAAATACAGTCCTTTTTGGTTTGTTTGGGCTGCGGACTGAATCCAGGGCCTGGTGCATGCTAAGCATATACACACTCTACCACCAAGCTACAGCCCCAGTGCCTCCTCTGTGCTTTAATAAGCCCTTCTTGTGATTCTGCCCCACAGCTCAGTCTACAAACCACTTAGATAATTTCACAATTTCAAGAAAAAAGTAATGAAGAGACATAACACCATGTAAGGTAGAACCAAGTTTATTAATGACCGCCTTTATTACAATCTCTCTCAAGTGTAAAAATAAAAGGTGATTAATTAAAATTTATAACTCGCTTGGACTTGCTGTTTGGCCTAGACTAGATGTGTCAAAGGGTGGGGAATCTTGCCTGATTCTGAATCAACTGTTTGGATGGAGTTCATTGGAGAATGAGGTAACAAAAGACAAAAGTGCCAATTAGAGAGCTCATTCCTTCTCCGTGTTGGAAGGACATTACAGTAAGCCAGCTGTGCTGTGGGCAGGACGAAATAAGTACTCTCACATCAGAATGTGAAGGTGAAGTGAACAGCTACCTGTACAGAGACACAAACACTCATGCAGAGTCACACACAAACCCACACTGTGTTGACAAGACTTTGGAGGAACTTCTGTCCTTTCTCTGACACAGTCATCGGCCCCCAAAATGAAATCTGCTGAATTTCCACCAACTATGCCAGCTGGCTGCCCAGTTATGTGCTGGCAAATGTGGCACCAGTGTGAAATATGTTGTTCCACACACTAACTTCTGCTCCACAGAACACCAGTCAGATTAAAACCTTGGGGGCAAAAGGGGCCCTTCCTCCCTGGAGTGGGGCAGGGCTGGAGCCCATGAAAGTGGCCTCCTGCCTTGAGTCACAGAACACCCGCCAGCGTCTCCACCTCTGCTCCAGAGGGCATGTACCTTGTCCTACCCTGGTGGCTGCAGGAGGAGGACAGAGGAGCTCTGCTGTACACTTAAAAGAAAGAAAATCAAATGAAGCCCTTAAGAAGAAAATGTACGAGAAGCATCTGATTGTGTCAACACTACTTTGGAGTTGGGTTGAATTCCATCCAAAAAGAAGGGAGAAGTGTGGAAGAGGCCGCTGAGCTTGACCCTGGAGAGGCAGCAGAGCCCACAGAAACCAGAGGTGGCAGCACCAGTCTCTTCCCAGCCAGGCTGGGACACCAGGCCACAGCGCCCCAGACTGTGACCCCACGGGATAAATGCTAACCCTCAGTTTTAAGGGTCTGTAGAAGACAGCAGGAAAGGGAGATGGTGAATTCAAATTCACATGTCATGCAGGTTAAATTTATTAAAAAAAAAAAAAAATCCAGCCCAGTAAAAAAACACTTGCAAAACTTAAAAGGAACCACATTATACCCTTCACCTTTTGGAAACAAAAACAAAAACCCCCACAAACACAACAAAACAACACAATCCAGAGTATTTCAAAGAATCCAACCACTAATTTGTTGGGGTGTGGGGTGAATTTTTAATTAATGCCTCTCATTAACCTCATTTTCTCCTTGGATTTCAAAGATAAATAAAGCTCAGGTCTACTTAGAAAAAAGATCCTGCTAGGATATGGTGTCACAAAGTCTCCAATGCCTGTCTGGTGAACACGGCTTCTCAGAAGGCTATGCCCCAGGACAGACCACAGACCCACCCATGTCCCTTGCTCTACAGGACAGCAAAATCTGAACCCATAGGCAATCCACCCTCTTCTTCAGCTGATAGTTGCAGCAGTTTCTTGAGGCTCAGGGAGGACGCCTCCCTCCACTGCTCTCCCAGGAAAGGGGCTGGATCTCAGCAGTCACCCATCACTAGGCCACAGGACTCCAAGTCAGCCCTCCAGGGAGTGACGGGAGCAGACCTGCCTCTGCCTGCCCTCCAGTCACTGGGGAGGAGGCTGGGAATGGGTTCTCCACAAATTCACGTAAATGTGGACTCCCCGCCCTCCCTTCTTTTCCTTTTTGGCAGGCATCTGTCCACCCATAAATTCATGGCTACAGTAGAGATTCATGGCGCGATAGCTTTCATACTGGTTTAACAAAAAAATTCTGTCAGCGAGCAGCATTTCCCAGTTTTAGCCCCACAAGAAGCAAGTTTTTGGCAACTCTGTCTGGTGGGGTGCAGGACACCTGTGCGGCTGTGTGGGTCCATGCGGCCTGGGAATCACAGGGCTGGGTTAGTCCAGTGTCTCGCAGGGCTCTACCAGCTGGCCCGGACGGCTTCAATGTCACTAACTAAGTTCTGGGCCAGGCATATCCCGAAAACCTGAGGACGGATAAAGAAGTGAGTCAGCAAAGGCCTTCACGCGAGGGTTCTCCTTGGCCAGTGTCCCACTGTTGCAATTTGACATTCTAGAAACTGGCATACAACTCATACATGGTAATCACATCCTTTTAAGGTAACTGCAGGCCTCAGTATGTTCACAAAGCTGTCTAATTACGAGCATTTCCACTGCCCTCAAACAAACCTTGTACCAATGAACAGTCTTCCCGTTTCCCTGTCCCCACGCCCTGGCACCTACTCCTCTGCTGTGACTTAGGGTCTGTCCATCGGACATCACAGGCTGAGAGGCCCACACAATGTGCAGTGCTGGTGTCTTCTTCTGTGGAGTAAAGCTTTTCAAGGTTCATCCACATCTATCAACGGTCCACTCCTTCTTTGGATTTTTTTTCTTTTTGCTGTATTGGGGGCTGAAGCCAGTGTCTCCACATTGAGCTACATCCCCAGCACGTTTTAAGTTTTTAATCTTGAGAGAGAGTCTAAATTGCCCAGGATAGGCTTAACTGTGAACTCCTCCTGCATCAGCCTCCCAGAGTGCTGGGATTCTAGGTGTGTGCTACCACTCCCAGCCCCAGATTTCTTTATTTGGGTCAGTAGAATACAAATTCAAGTACTTTGGAGAATGTTCTGGGATAACCTACAGAAAAGCTGAGGAGAGCATGACACATGCCCAGCCTTGGGGACCAGGGAAGGCACCCCAAATCTCAGCTGTCTCTTCTACCATCTTCCAGGCTACACTTGGCAGACAGTTTCTGCTGCAGCAGGTTCAGGGGCTCCAACCTGTACACCTCTGTCATGTGGTCGGTCAGTTCTGATGGAGTTCCCACAGTGGGGTCATTTTTGCCAGTGGTCAGTGATTGGGGCTTTTGCCCCAGTGTAACCCACACCCCACTGTGCTCAGTGGTCTCCCTGCCAGGTCTGGAGTCTGGTGTCCTGCAGGCTGGCTCCACAGTCCTATTGGTGTATGGCTCCCTCTCTCTAGACACCAGAGACTTGTAAAGTTCTGCAAAGATACACTATCACCAGGAAAGCTCTGCGTGTGGACAGACAGACACAGAAGGCACTGAGCTACAGGGTGACATGGAAGCCAAGGTGGCCTCAAGTTCTGGTGCACATGAGAGGGGCGTGGGCCTAGCTGAGAAGAAACAGCACTGCAGTAGAAAAGATCTGAGGCAGTGAAGGACCTGGCTTTGAGTGGCCTACTCAAGTGGGAGGCGACTGCCATGTTCTCTCTAAGCACTGTAGAAGCAGAAAGTCATGCTGACTCTTCAAAACAATGCCTGGCCAGCCTGTTCCTTTTTGATGGCTGAATAATATTCCAGCTTATGTATATCCCACATTTTGATTATCTATTCATCAGTTAAAGGATATTTGTACTGTTTCTATTTTTTGCTATTATGAGTAATGCTGCTATGAACATTTCTTTGTGAATAAAAATTTTCAATCTTTTGGGTACATTCCTAAAAGAAGTGCTGGTCTTGTAACTCTATGTTTAATTTTCTGAAGAACTGACAAAGTGTTTTCCATTTGTAGTCCCTCTGGCAATACCTGAGAATACTTGTCCACATCCTAACCAACATCCTTTATTGTGTGTCTTTTTAATTATAACCACCCTAGTTGAAATGGAATGGCATCTCCCTGAAGCCTTGATCTGCATTTTAAATTACTAATGATGTTGCTATCTCTTTTTGTGCATATATACTGAGACCCTTTGTCCATTTTACAACTGGATTTGTCGTTTTTATAGTTGGGTCATAAACAATACTGTGGGTTATCTCTTCACATTCTTGGGAGCCTGAAGATGACCCTTGCCTCCTCCCTACTCCCTTTTTCCGCCATAGATTAGATAGTCAGACACATTGTAGACGCTGGATGGCACAGCCCCGGGAGACAGTTACACAACTATGCTTCGCTGTTCCCTTCCTGGGCATGCCCCATCACGAAACAATCATGCTACGTTCTGCCTAGGCCACATAGGCCACGTAGTACTATTTGCCCCGCCTTCCTGTTTGCCTTTCCCGCTAGATAAAGAGTGCGTGGGACTCCAGGCGGCCATTAGCTCCCACAAGCTCTGGTTCCACCTGGTCCCACCCTTCAAGAATAGTCTTAGTTTGTTTCTTTCTTTTACCATGACTCTCCCCAGCTTTGGACCCTACACCGTGCAGGATATAGCATGAGAGTATCATTTTCAACACAAAAAATTTTAATTTTGATGAAATCTCATCTACGTACATTTTCTTTGGTTGCTTGTTTTTGCTGTCATACCTAAAGTAACACTGCATAACCCCAAATCACAATGATTCATTATCTATGCTGTGTTTTATTCTAGGCTTTCACACCGCTTTAAATCTTGTATTTAGGTCCTTTTTTTTTTTTTAAAAGATAGGGTCTCGCTATGTTAGCTAGACCGGTCTCAAACTTGTACACTCAAGTAATTTACCCAAATAACTAGAGTACAGGTATTCTCACCATGCCTGTCTATATTTATAGCTTTGATTTATTTTATGTTATATTTATACATGAGATGAGGTAGGGGTCTAATATTCAGTACTTCTAGCATTATTTGTTGAAAAGACTATTTTTTTTCCCCGTGAGTAGTTTTGGTTCCTTTGTCAAAAATCAACTGACCAGACACAAGGCCATGCCCAGACTTTCGATTCTATCCCAGGGGTCTATAGTGGCTAAGCTTACTGAAGTACACAGCATCTTCACTGCTGTAGCTGTGTAATAAGTATTGACTGGGAAGCATGAATTCTCCCACTTTGTTCTTTTTTAAAGTTTGCTTTGATGATTCTGGGTCCCTTGCATTTTCGCAGGGTAGCTTGTCCATTACTGATAAAAAGCCAATTGCAATTGTGATAGGGACACCTTTCCATTTATTTAGGTCTCCTCTATGTGCCCTGTTTGTGATCCTCTAAGGAAAGTGTCATATCAACACAAAGAGCCAAGCCACCACCTGCCTCGCAAGTGCAAGGACCTGAGTTTGATCCCCAGTACCAAACATAAAACAACAAAGAGCCCAGCCATAAGACCACCCACAAGGACACATGCCCTCCCTCTCTGGCTGGCACTTCAGCAAGCTGGTCCAGGAAGACATCGAGGAACTCCCAAAGCCTCAGGCCCTCTGCAGGCTCCATGCTGACCACCCACATCTGCCCCAGTTACCACATGCAGTGTCACGAAGCCTACAGAAAGGACAGAATAGCAGAGGTAACCTGTGACCCAGTCCTCCACCCTGCAAAGGAAAACAGCTTCCTAAATTATTTCAGGATCTCGGCAGACCCTTAATCAAATGCAAAGCAAATACTTTAGGTCTACCCCCAGCCCTCCAACATGTCTTAAGCAGTGACATGCAGGTGAGTCAGTGAAGCTCCTGTCCTGGTGAGGGCTCTCCTGGGCATCGCTCCCTGTACTTCCCCCCTCAGGGTGCCTGTCTTACCTGCAGCAGTGCAATGCCTATGAAGATGCCAGCCACGATGGTTAAATTGTCCTGGAGCCACTTCTCAAACTGGGGCACACAGCCTTTCGTGTAGATTACAATCTGCTGGTCGACTTCCTTCAGAAGGGAAGAGGACAGCAGAGGTCACCAGTACAGCCCTATGCGTGTGCAAAGCTTCTGCTTACCCCCTGTGTGCTAAGAGTCCACTTACTGGTTTCTGCCTGGCGTCATAGCCACATTGAGTGTTGATGACATCTTCCTGGGGAAGAAACAAAGAGAACAGTGACACTCACTCCCAGGAAGCAGGAAGCTCGGGGAGGACTGCACAGAAGACCGGTCAGGGGCCTTTGTACAGGAGCGTCAGGTCACAGACCAGGCTGTAGGTAAAAGCTTTGTATGTGTTGTGCACACAGTTCTTCCCTTTCACTTTTCATTTATTGGTATGTTTCCAACACATGGGGATTCCAGGACACTGCTTGTGGGGAATTGGTACATGGACACAACACATCACAATGCTTTTTCGGCCCCTTCCTCCTTCTCATCTCCTAATCCCCTTCCCACACAGGGAGCATCTGTCTCCCTATTTCTTATTATTTATCTTTTATTTTCTCTTTACTTATATATTGGGTTGCTCGTGTAAGGGAAACCACGGGATATTTAAGCTTGTCATCATTGTAACAGTCTTCACAAGTTGTAAAACATGCCCTGTTTTACAAATGAGACAGACTGAAGCTCAGGGAATATAAAAAAAAATTGTGAGTTCTTTTGGAAAAAAGGAAGCTCAGGATTCAAGTGTCACGAACCTCAAGAAGCTTATGGGGTTTAGGGCAATGTGGGTGTGGATAAAAACCAAACAGAAAGGACACAGAGGCTATGCTCTGCTTTTTAGGGTTACCCTTTTCTTCCTTCTGTGGCAATAAAGTGGGTTTTCTTAGCTCTGAGCTCATGGAACAGGAAAACCTGTGACTGAAGGAGAGGCCTAAAGCTTTGAGCACGTCTGAGTTCCTCCAGGGGACTGCTAGCCAGGCAGGTGCTGGAGATGGGAAGGCACTGCACGGTGGTGATGGGGGTCTGGTGGGTACCTCAGGCTTAGAGGTGCGTACCATCCACCTAGCTGGCTTCCTGGGAGGAATGAGGCAGCAGGAAGGAGTCAGGGCCAGGGAGCACATCCTCAGGGATGCTATCTCCTGCAGCCTGAAAGAACTGTGCAGGATGACTCCCAACGAGCAGCCTGAGGAAGGTCTGCTGCCCCCAAGACCAGGCCTTCACCACACTCACTTAGCTCAGCTTCCCGGGACAAGGGCAGGCCTTGGGCAGGACACTGGGGAATAAAAGGGCCACAGAAAGGCTGACGAGTCCAGACAGGCTGCAGCCACGAGCTCCCCGGTGAGTGCAGGAGCACCCCTCACACCCACATCCTACCCACGGGTGAGCCTGGCCTCTCACCTGCAGGACGGACTGTGTCTACAGTTATTCTACACACCAGAAGCATGGTTTGACCCATCTCTAACCAAATCCGTGGTGGAAGGGGTGGCTTACTAATGGATTTTACATATCTTTGTTTTAAAAACAGAACATGAACAGTAGTAAGTATGACACTGAAGTCTGGGCAGCTGTGGTCTGGCTAAGGAGTCCAGCCCGATCCTGTCTTACACCCCTCCTGCTCTTCGTGTTCCCCCTGGAATTTACCCAGAAGAAAAGGGGTTACAAATCCCAAACCACGGCTCTGAGCTCCCTATGGAAGAGATGATGGGTGACAAAGGAGGGCACCTGGGCCGGCACCCCATTCAACCCCTGTTATGGGTGTGAGCTTGGCAAGTCCCTTTCTTACCTAATAGGGAGAACAGCAGTGGTGGCTCCTACTATAATGTTATGAACTTAAATGAGCCAGTGCACATAGGCTTTGAGAAAGAGCCTGAATGTTTTGCCAAAATAACCCCTGCAGTTATTGCTTTTCTCAGAAAGATGTGAACGTTGCACTCACTAGAGAAGCTACAATTAGGCACAAGCAGGTAAGAAGCAGTTCCATGAGAAAACTCCTGTAGCCATCTGCACACAGTGTGATGCAGAGGCCAACAATCTGTGGCTTTTGCTTACCGCTGGGTCTTTAGTGCAGCAGGAGAACGGTACACCACATCGCTCTCGACTTGCATTGGAATCTGTGCAATTGAAGTAAATATTTAGGTTCCAATCATCAGCTCCAAAAGCCCCACAGCACTGCCACTAGAGCAAACAGGAGAGAATTAGAACATCTCCATTTGGAGCAGCCAGGCAGCTGCGCTCACACCCTGCACGCCCTCCAGAACAGCTCCCAGCCCCTGCCAGCTCCAACATTTTCTTCTGTCTCAGAATCATTTTTAAGCCACACTGCACCTAAACAATCCCTGTAAAGAGCTTCCAAAGTAAGACTGAAGGTGTTTCAGCATGTGATTTAAACAACTGATGAGCCCCACAGAATAAGAGGGAGAAGGGATTGTACAGCCAGGTCTGTTAGAACAAGACATGTTTGGCTTGTGTACATTCTAGAAGGATAAATCAGAACATTCTAGAAGCACAAATAAGATACCAACAACAGTGGTACAGTCTGAAGAAGGCAACTGAGGTTGTAGTAGGGTTAAAATTTTGATCTCCACACTTTAATGTTTTTTAAAAACCCAATTTATTGAGGTATATCTGACCTACAGTACCCCACACATTTTCAAAGTGTATAACTTGGTAAGTTCTGACATACATATATTGTGAAACTGTTATCAAAATCAACATAGTGGCTATGTGGACTAGGGTGTAAGTCACTAGTGAAGCACTTGCCTGGCATGAACAAGGCCCTGGGTTCAACTCCCAGTGCCACAAAAGCAAACAAAAGATAGGGAATACAGTATGTCCTTGGCCTCAGGTTTAGTTTTCATTACAGTTTATTTCTGCCTTGAATTATTAAAAACAAAAACATAAGTTTGCATTTTTCAACCTTAAGTAAGTTATCTAATTAAAAACGATAACATGAGCTATTAAATTCAGTCATAATGAATGGGGCTTGATTTAAGGGTTACCCCAGCGGTCCCTTGCTCACTCCCCTGAGCTTACCCACCTTTAGATCTTAGTTAAATAAATACTAAGCCTTGACTTCTTCAAAACATTAAACCCCATGCTACACAAATATAATCATGTGAAACAATAGTATTTTGGAGCAGAACAAATAATGTTTCAGGAGAACATGTAGACGCATGTTCTTGAGCCTCATCTGGTCCTCTGGGGCTGGGCTGTGCCTGGTAAGTACAAAGCTCTATCAGATGTGTCATGCACAGTGCAGGAAACCACCTGGGAGGTGTAGGCTTGCACTCATAACCTAGGCTCAAGCTCACACTGAGCCACAGCTTACCCCAGGCAACTGCTGCCACCATCAAAGAAAACTAACGCAGCTCAGCTAGGTGCTGGGCACAAATAAGGATGCCCTCCCTTTGTCCAAGGTGGCCCCAGTGCATAATGGAGAACTGTTGAACCCACACAGGCCTAATATAAAACCACGTACATCTTATGAGAGTGTTATGACTCCCCGCAAGTTAGACAGTAGCTATTATTACTTCCATTTCACTACTGAGGTTCTATGAGCCCAAGGTTCCTGAGACCTGGTATTTCCAGGGCCCTCCATTTTACCATTTTGATTTTGAGTGCAATGGGCTCTACCACTCTCTCTGCATGGCAGAAGCCGTCATACAGTCAGGTTCAGACAGCTGAAGGGTGGGCAGGACTCTCGCACAGATTCTCCACTGCTTAGAGCTTCTCCTGGGGCTGAGAAGCTTCTAAACTTTGGGTTTTAATTTCATTTGCTATAATAGCGGGTAGGCATCTTTTAGGAACCTTTTGGACAAATATCCAACTAAGTATGTCAATATGACCTGTAAAGTACGGAAAGTTACAAAACAGGGTGGTCAGGAACAAGAGAGAACCCATATTTAATAACCAAGTAAAACCTTATTATGCCTACTGCAAAATAGCTGTCTTCAAAGGCAAGTAGGCAAGGACAGCTGTGATTATCACCTTTTGCTTAAGAATTGTCCTCTTTGTTCCTCTAACTGAACAGAAATTGAAACAAGTAAAAGCAGAATATTTCCATGTAGGGTACAAATCCTGTGAGTCATAAAGCAACTGAGAAAAGAATAAACAAACAAAAAGCCATGCAGAAAAGTCAGAGGCAATTTCCAGCTGGCAGAGATGCAGAGCCAGAAGAGTATTACAGAAACCATCCCTTTGTTAAGATTGTCAACTTGAGAATAAACCAAATTTAAACTTACATATTCCTGGGTGAAGTCTATGAGGTTTTGCAAATCAATATCATCCCTGTATGCTCTGATGTTGTTGTTTATAAAGAAATACAGCTGGTCTTTGATCCAGTCTTTGAAAACAAATGCCAAAACCCCAGCAGTGAGCTCCAGGAAGAAAATAATTCCCAGGAACACAGAAAACTAAGACAAAAGACACATACACAGAGAGCAGTTACAAGGGCTGTTTTGATCATATGTAGTTAAATGGTTCGTTCCCCTCTGAAAAGGTTTGTAATTATATTTGATTGTTACACATCTCCAAAGCAGATAATCTTCAGTTTCTCAAAATTTGTTAATAGAATATTACATTCCAATAAAGGATTTTAAAAATTAAAAATCACTTCATAATCACATTCTAGAGTCTCTAGTGTTTTGTTTGATAATTAACCAGCTAAATCCATAAGCAAACATGAATAATAGGAATTGCTCAGCAGACCCACATCAAGGCCTAGTGAATTTCTTGGGATTAATACACTGCCAGACTCTTCAGCAGTGACCTGCCCCTGCTTTAATAAGCCTTCTCCTAAGTTAAAAGATAGATCATCCCAATATTTTGCAGTTGCCTATCACTCTTACTGTGGTATTGATGCTATGTGCAACATATCCCTTTTATGGATTAAAACACCATTTTAGTTTTCCTTTGCACCTGCTGTGCAGTGTAAAATAACAGATCTAGATGGAGAAGTCAAAGAGGAACTGTGTGTGGGGATGTGTGACCATGACACGAACATAATTTCCAACCACAAAAGCAAAGCGAAACCAAGTTAAAGGTGTTCTTGTAATGCCAGCTGCATTCACCTTCCTCTTAGGAACACCAAGCTCAGGAAATATTTTAAATAACATCAAAATTCAGCCGAAGGGAGACTTCTGGCTAATGGAGCCAACACAACTTGAAGGCTATCACCCACGAGCGCTGTGCTAACTGCTCGTAACTCTGGAGAAATTTCTCTTCCATTTAGAGGTCTTGGGAGAGCCTTGTCTTAGTCATACTGACATGTTCATGCGCACAGATCCTTCCACCTCCTACGCTCCCACATCCTGACCTTCTGCAACTTTCACGCCAAAACAGCTTATGAGAAGTGGGGCTGCGAGGGAGCAGAGGGACGCCGCAGGCAGACTCTTCTGGTGATGACGGTGGAGGGTGACTCTGGGTCACACCTACTGGGCAGCTACAGAACAGGGAGTAGCTGAGGAGGCAGAGGGGACTCAGCAGGCAGACACCAAGCAGTCAGCCAAGAGGCTATGTACAGGGGAAGAGATGCAAAGGAAACAATATAATTGCTTAGCAAAAGAAAAAATAGCAAAAACAGTTGTTCATTCAGCAAATGTTTATTGTATGACCCACAGTGGGTCACACTCTGTGGTAAAGTGGGCTCTGCAAAAGCAAGGGTAAGACTAGGCTCCTGCTGTCGAAGACGACACAGTCTTATCTCATCTGGGGTGGGTGGAGGATGCAGGTGGGAGCAGGAGACGGGGCCACTCCACTCATCACAGGGCAGAGACTCATCTAGGGACCATGGGCTGCGCTGTGAGGAGGGGAATGGGAGGAGGGCCAGGGAGAAAATCAGCGCCTGGCGAAGTCGGGGGCCCCAAGGCCAAGGCCCCACTTCTAGATGCCTCAGTTCAGCCCTTTAGAGCTCCTCATTATCTGTCCTCAGTGAGATCACAGGAAATGAAAGCTAAACAGTTCTTAATTATCACTCATTGTTACCAAGGACTTCAAATTAAGCTTTACTTAATAGGGGAAAAAAGATCAAAAAACACTTCACACCACTTTTGATCCATGCCCCCTCCTAGTGTGAAACAACCCCCTTCTCTTTTCTGAGGACCACCCTAAACATGCAAATATGCCAGCAATTACACCACAAAATGACAAAAATCACAGCTGGTGTGCATCTGAGCCCATACAAACCATCAAGGCAGAAGCTGTGTAAAGTTCTTAGGAGATATTTGCTCTCACCGCTTTAACGGTTAGTAAGTTCATCTTCCAGTTCCCCTGGTAAATTTTCTCATGAACATAATATACATATCCAATACACTATCCAAATTCAATCCATACGAAGGAACATGCACACCCCAGGCCTGTGAGCCCCTTATGTTCAAAGGTACAGAAACTGAGTTGCAGGCTTCATTTTGGGTCTCAACCAGGAAGCTCTGCTTCTATTTCAGGGTCTTGGCTCCTCAGTTTCCCCCTGCAACCCTCCAGAGTCTTGTGGCATCAGCTCTCCGAGGCTGTTCAGAGGCATGGTGACATTCACTTGATTCTCATAGGCCCCAAAAATTCTAGTCCAGTTTTTATATATAGAGGCCATTTAAAGTATTGCCAAAGATGTAAAAAGGCCAAGAAATAATACAGTTCATTTCTAACAGTGGATTTTATAAAGGGAGTGCTGTTGTAACTGAAACTACATTCAAATGAATCATATTAAAGGGGTCCCACATTTTGGGCATGGAAGCTACACCTGCAGGCAAGTAAGAGGGCCCGAATACGCTACCTGGAAGCTGAGTGAGGTGGACTCAGCCTTTAGAGCTCCCTCATGCCATGAAGGCTGCTAGGCTGGCAGCCGCATGGTCAGGGACAAAGTGCTCCCGGGGCTCTGTGGGTTGTTGGCCAGGTGGAGGATGAAGTGTGTGTGTCTGTAAAAGGATGATCTGCAGGTCAGCCAGAAGAAACTACCCACTCCCACTCTCAGCAGGGTCCACATACCAGGATTGAGAACTAGCTGTCATTGAGTTGCATCTCAGACCAAGCACAGGCACCCCTAGATTTCCCTACTAGCATGAGCCACATGAACTTTCAAAAGAATCGTCTTCCTGACCTTCATGAGCCAGAGCTGCCCAAATCGGAAATGGAGGAGCCAGGGCAGGCACAGCGAGTCCTATCTTATTAATGCATTTTCAAGGAAAGGTGTCAGAGGATAACAGGGAGGAGAATCACATATGGAATGGCTATTGGAACTAGTTCTAGAATATGCTCTGGTTTTAAAGGAAATGACCCTAGATCAGTGATGGTGAACCTTTTAGAGACGAGTGCCCAAATTGCAACCCAAAACTCATTTATTTATTGCAAACCTGAATACTGAGGTTTTAGTTGAGAAAGGACAACTCATACATTAACATATTTGTGTATTAAAAGAAAAACACATGTGCCAAAGGTATGCCATCAGTGCTTTGGATTGAAAGTGATTCTAGTAATCTGCAATGTTATAGAAAAATGGTTCCTGGAAATTCCTAAGCATCTTCCCTCACCACTGGAGGATGGGAGGTCCTTTTGATCTTTTTTCTGTTCTTGAGGGCCGTGGACACTTCACACATGGGACCATAGTGCCAAGTCACACACTGATGAGCACACTCATGTGTCTCTTAACCACAGTTCTACTTCACTACACAAAAACGTGTCATATGCCAAGTGTTCTTGGAAGGGGTCTCCAAATGGAAGGCTTTTACTTTTTATTCTCTACCTTCACTTCTCATATTTATGTACCTCCTAGTGAAATCCCTCGTCTACAAATAAAAGTGCTATCTTGGTTCATGAAATTGATTCTTTCCACAATTCTAGTTGCAAACTGAGTTGGACGAGAACTAAATCAAATTTAATGGTTAAGTTTAATGTAGATCTTATGGGGACAGTTCCAGTTCAGTGTGTGACCAGAGTCATGTGCAAAATGGAGTTCATGAACTGAGGCAGCACTGTATTCCTGTCACAGTGGACCCTTGGCTTCTGAAGTCAATCAGTTTTTGAGGGCTGGCCGTAACTAAGTCAATACAGCTGAGTGCTGGATGTTTACCTCAGTACATGCTGTAGATAAGAGGAGGCAGATGAAGCTTCCATTAACTTAATTAACACAAGCGGTTCATGTGTCAGGCCAGTCATAACTTGAAGGTCCACTGTAACAGTGTTATTCAGAGCATAAAGATTCCATAAATAGTCTAAACATTATGTCAGTCCTATGAAGGAGAACTTTGTACTGGCCAAGAACAACAGAGATTTACTTTTACTATTCTCCATATTTACTAAAACTTACTACTTACATGTTTAACCTGGACAGTTCAGCATCCCTGTGCCCATGCATGGTTCTCTAGATCACCCACCTGCACAGCTTGCTATTTATTGTAGGGGGAAATCATGAAGAGGAGGAGGACATGCACATACTATTAGACCCTCCATGCATGGCACAGGTAGGAACATTACTAGCACGAAGTAGGCATGTCCAGGGTGGAGGTGGAGGGAGCACAACACACAGGGCCTCCTTCAAGATAAACAGGACCTGGCCCTGCTTGTGTGAGTGGCTGTGGTACGGCACCATCACCTCTTCTTCTTCTTTTTTTTTTTTTTTTGGTACTGGGGATTGAACTCAGTTCCTTGCACCACAAGGCAGGCAGGGGAACCACTGAGCTAAATCCCGGCCACCATCTCACCTCTTAAGGTGAGAGTCTGGATTCAAGCTGAAAGCAGAGACAGATACTTACAAACTTCAGGAGAAAGGTGTTCTCCCGCAGTGCCCCAATGCACCCTGCAAACCCCAAGATGAACATCACTCCTCCCACCACTAGGAAGAGCCACACTGGGTCAAAGCCGCCGAGGTCGGTGATCGAGGAGATGTTGGACAGAACTCCTTTTTTTTTTTTTTTTTTTTTTTGGTACTGGGGATTGAACTCAGTTCCTTGCACCACAAGGCAGGCAGGGGAACCACTGAGCTAAATCCCGGCCACCATCTCACCTCTTAAGGTGAGAGTCTGGATTCAAGCTGAAAGCAGAGACAGATACTTACAAACTTCAGGAGAAAGGTGTTCTCCCGCAGTGCCCCAATGCACCCTGCAAACCCCAAGATGAACATCACTCCTCCCACCACTAGGAAGAGCCACACTGGGTCAAAGCCGCCGAGGTCGGTGATCGAGGAGATGTTGGACAGAACTCCCTGGAACAGAAAAGAACACATAATGCGCCAGGATGTGAGAGCTGTGTGCTCACAAGTGTGCAGTACTGCATTTGCCTTTCTCCCTCTCCCAAAGAAAAGCTTCAGAGGTCAGCTGATTATCAGGCAGCATGTGTGAGACACTGCAAAGAAAAAAGGAGAGGGAAAAGGAGAAAGGGCCGGGCAGGCAAGGGAAGGAAGAAGGAAACAGAAAAGGGCGAGGAAGGGAGGAGAAAAAGACAACAAGGAAAGGGAAAAGGGAGGAAGGAAATGTATCTGCTGATTTCAAGATCTAAATATATTTATCTTTTTGGCAAAATTCTACAAAGCCAAAAAAAAAAAAAAAAAAAAAAAAGAGAGACCCCCTCAGACCTTGTACAGAGAGGAAACATGGATGTTACTTTTTCTTCTATGTCCTCAAGTATAAATAGTGTTGAGCAAAAAATGAGTATGAGAAAAACACCTGTGACACCCTCAAAGGAAGGGGCATCATCCTCAGTCCCAGGCTTGCAGATGTTGGCAGCTGGCCACTTCAGGGTACCTCCCAGCTGTGTAAGGAGAAACCCAAACCCCAGGACCCATCAGAGCAGAGCCTGTGACGATGCAGAGCCCCAAAGCCCACTTATGTGATTCGTGCTGATGGGTGCTCGTTCAACCTTTAGTTCTCAGAAGCAGTTCCTAACAAGTGAAAAAAGTCAACCCTATTATTCTTCACCCCAAACTACCAAAGGAGCCCAGAGTAATTTAATTGTATTTCTCCACAAATAGTGCTGCCACTTACTGAAATCCTTTCTCTCTATAGTGTGAAACCACACCAAATATCCCCGGAACCTGTTAGAAATGATGAGATATTTCCCTTCCAAATGATGTATATACTTATTATTCATGCACAGGGACCAGCTACTACTATTTTGAAACTGAGGCTTAAATAAACAACATTATCAATATTTTAATTTTTTGATTAGTTTTCAAGTCCCACATCAAAACATCTCCAGAGCATCATGGTGTAGCTTGCTGCAAAATAATATTAAGCATTTGTTTTCAAGGCACTTCCAACAACTTGGAAGACTAGGAACTACTCATCTGATTTTATACTGGAGGAAAATGGAACTGGTGATGAGCTGAAGGTCACATGATTAGTTATTCTGGAACCAGAACAGAACATCTATTTCAGAATTTCTTATTTACCAAGCTGGGATCTCATGTACTTCCTTCCCAGTGCTAATCAATACCTGAGGTTAGGAGTTTTAAGTTTCAATCCACTTTAATGTTGTGGAAACATTTGGAGTATTCTGTTAGGTTTTTCTGTTTGCTTTTTAGGAGCATATCAACTTAAGAACAATAGCAGCATGTTAGTAACAGAGCACACACAAATAAAAGAACAAAGAGCTCCAAAAGGTCAAGGGTCTAAGGACTGAGAAGTTATCAAAGCATGGGGAATGGAGGGGATGCTCACCCACTTGTCTAGTGACATCACCGAAGGCAGCCACACCCTCTATGGGACTGCACAGTCCAATGGCTTGGTCCAATCTTGTGTTTCATAGACTTCCAAGCTCTGAACTAGGAATGCTCACTACAGGTGGGCAAAGGCTGAAGGAAACATAGATATAAGGAGGCCAATTCTCCACTTATATAGTACAAATGACACAGAAAAATCTTGCTAGAGAAGTCAAGACAAAACAGTGTTAAAGGCCCAGTGTTAGAAGAAAACCAACCTTTTCCTTCACCAAGGTTAAAGTCTTAAAAGTTTTGGACCTGTTCAGCTACTGGAGAGAGGGTTTGAAGGTACATAACACTTTTAAAATGTGAAAAGCTAACTTATGTATGGGAGAAGTAGTAGACTTGATTTACCTGGCACCAGAAAGAGGAGGTAGCCACAGGGGAAGCACCAGAGAAGGACTGAGTTCCATCTCTATTGCCACCAGGTCTCCAGCAGTAACTAGAGATAGCTGTGCACAGAAATATGGGTTCCTCTTATGGGCAGCTGATGCTGTGACCTCTCAGCTGTGTTTTCAGCAGGATTGCCAAAGTGGCTGGGAAGCTGGGACTTAATGACTCTCAGGCTCCTTCCAAGTTAATACTATTCTATGATTTCATCCATTTTTAATGATCTTTTTATTTCTCACTTGTACTCAAGTCTGAGCAAGGATCAGATTGTTCCCACCTTCCATGATCCACAGCTGCACACAAAGGATTTAACCTTAGTAGATAATAGGGGCAATTATCTGGGCAGCTCCGCAAAGGAAGCAAACAAGCAAACAAACCTCCTCATGTCCAAAATATCAAGACAAAATTCATCTCCAAAAGGCAAAAATTATGACCCCAATTATCAGTAGATTCCTTGATCATTTGACCTTTCTGAGTTTAATTGGGTGGTGAGAATTTGGCTTCTCAAACTCATTTTAATACTTATTCTCCCTAGCCTGCAGGGACAGTTTTAATTGAGAGGTCTTCAATGGTTTCTATAGAAACTACAATCATTTGGGGACCTCCCTAGACTGCAGATTCTACTCATTTATTTCTAAATTCCAGTAAAAGATGGCTAGAGACAGATATTACTAAGAATTGGGGTGGGGAGGGTAATATTCTATAAAGCATAGGAAAGACCATTAAGCACTTTATTTTAAATGGATTAATAATATATCCAGGTAGCAACCAACTGTAAACTAATTCAAATCTTTTTTTCAGGGGGGTGGTCTGGGTGAAAAAAAAATATATCCTTTATTTTATTTATTGCATTTTTTAATCAATAAAGTTGTAGGTAGTTACCCTCGCAATATGTTTTGAAGTTATATACATTGCGGAATGACTAAATGTAGCTAACTTACACATTATCTATTTTATGATGAGAACACATTACATCCATTTTCAGCATTTTTCAAGTGCTCATAGATTATTGCCAGGAAGGGCAGTGCACACCTATAACCCCAGTTATGAATTCACTGGGAGGCGGAGGCAGGATGACAAATTCAAGTTCAGCCTGGGCAACTTGGTGAAACCTTGTCTCAAATTTAAAGAGGGGGCTGAGAATGTAGGTCAGCACCCCCTAGGTTCAATCCCCAGTACCAAATGGAAACAAACAAAACAAAACCCTCATAGTTAACAATATAGTATTAACTATAGCCAGAAATTCAAATCTCAGACACACTGTGAAGTCAACGCCCAAGCAGTTGTTTCCCTTGGCATGAGGCTTACCACCTAGACAGAGAAGTGGAAAAGACATCTGCACAATGCAGCTTTACTGTTTCTAAGAGCAGGAAGACTGCACAGAACCAAAGAACCCTGGCAACAACAATGCTGGGTTATAAATATGATGCAGCGCTAACAGGCCAGCCCTCTGGAGGCTTCACAAACGGGGCCTCTCATTGGACTTTCTAATTTTGTTAAGCTCAATTTAACAATCGAGGAGTCTAGCACAAGCTTGTTGAAGAATAAATATAATTAAGGCTTGTAGTTAACAAGAATCTGAAAGAAGGACAGTAGAAGCCGTGCACACCTTCTGCTGGGCAACACGTCCTCCTCAGAGCGAGGCTTCCTTCTGCCCTCCATTCACTCCGCAGCCCCCTCCGCAGAGCTGCCACTTCCCTCACTGAGCCCCTCCTTGGAGGCCTGGACTTAGGCCAGGAGTCTCTGTCCAGGGGTTGAGCCGGTGTTTTCACCGTGTGGTCTGCGTCAAGAAAGCCAGGGCTTAGGAAGAAACAAAGCCTGGGGCGGGGAGGGAAGATTCCAACAGCATCCTAAATCCTAGGTCCCTGGGTGTCACTGCTTGTTACTCCATGGCTCTTAGAAGGGTTTTCTCGGGTCCTCGGAATACAACAGCACGGAATAAGCCAGCTGCAGCATTCCCTGCAAATGCACCCATGTGCAGGGGTGGCACATATGTGGCCAAAACTAAAGCTCACTTTTTAAATGTGGCGGGGATGGGCAGAGGGGAGTGCTGGCTTTAAAATGGTTGCTTTACCCAGTGGGCTATTTGGAGTCAACCTCGCAGTGAAACAGTGTAAACAGTCTTCAGTGAACTCACGAACGCGGACGGTGAGCATTTCTGATGAAAGCTCTAACACGCAGCCTGCTCTCACCCCACTTCTCCATGTAAACCAGAATGTTCACCTCGAATTTAAAAACCAACTTTTAAAACTGCAGCTTACTGGGAAAACAAAAACAAAAACAAAAACAAACCAAATGCCATCTAGTCAGTCTTTTCTCTATCCCGAACTGCTGCTGAGTTAGCAGGGTACACAGAGTGCCCTGGCATGGGAAAGGCACAGCAAGTTCTTATTTTTCATGTATCTGAAACCTGTATAGGAGGTTGAGCTCCGGAGCTAAGGGAGTCAAGGTATGGCTGGGCAGGTAATGTCAGAAAGCTCCACTTCATGGAGCCAACTGTTCAGCAGATGGGGTACACAGGCAACAGGCTGAGCTGCTGGCCAAGGCATCTCCTGTAATCATTTGTTTTGGCTGATACAGAAATGGGACTTTGACCAGCAGTAGCAGAGACAAGGAAAAAAGTAACATGAGAAAAATACATTCAAAAGAGTGCAAATTCAGAATACAAGAGGAATTCTTACACATATATTTAATAATATATGAAGACTACTTTTATAAGAACGGGTATAAAGGAACATGTTCAAACATCCTTCATATCCACACTGTATAGCTCCATGTCATTGTTCCTAGGACCTCTGGTCTTCTCTCCTGCCTCTAACCTCACAGCTGTGCAGAGATCAGAGGGAGAAACAAACTGACCATAACATAAAGCACTGCTCTAAAGACATATGAATAGCAGTCAGTTTGAAAGAAAAATACATCCACCAGACTGGCCATTCCTCAAGTCAGCTTCTGGACAACTAGCTCTCCATGCATCAATGCCTCCGTTTGCAACTTACAGAAAGGGTGCTCCAGGGGGAACAGTGATTTCCATTGTGCATGAGGTGCCACACAGTATCACCGGGAAAAGGGGCCAGTACGCGTCTGCAGAGAAGGAGGATGTCCGAGGCAGCAGC